AACATCATCAGTCGTTGTGAAAAGAATCGTATTTCACAGTTCCACAATGCAGTTTCTCATGCATTCGATTTACTGGTGAGATTATTTGGGCTAAAGAATTGGTGGCTCTTGTGGAAAGCATTTTGCCATTAAAAAAAATCAACAGCCAACAATCATCAGTAAAATCAGTGTGTTGATGATTTTGGCATTAATTTATGAGTGCGTTTAATTTAAGAGAATGTTATGCATCATTCCAAAGAAAACATTGAAAAGCAACATCTTAGATGGTCAGTCAGTCAGACAGGACAGACAGACAGACAGACAGACAGACAGACAGTTAGTAAAAAGTATTAACATGTTGGTTGCTGCATTTTTACTGCTTGCCAACCAAAGTCACTTCTACTCGTCAATTCTACTCAATGTCTTTGATTCTATCTTAATATGACGTTGAACTGTCTTGTATCATTTGATGATTTGCTTGTTTAATTTCTGTTAAATTTCCTTAAGACTTGCAAGTCGTATAAACAAAGATCGTTTCATGTGATGTTTACGACATTTATGCCACATTTAATTGTTGCAGTTGCCGTTTCTTTTACTTTTTTTGTTAGATGGAAACAACACAACAACATACTACGATGTTGTTTCACATTTTGTCCAGAACCCAGAGATTTGTGCTGTCAGCATAGTTTTAAAGCAGTGGTGCTCAAACACATACTACCATAGACTACCATAGTTTTATTTGTGTTGGTAAAGCAGCAGAGAACAGAATTCAATTCAAAATAAAAGTATACTAATAAAATGACTACAAACTATAAAATATATGCTAACTGTCAAATATTTATTATAGATTTTGACAGCCAGCGTATAGCAACGTCTATATATAAAAAACTATCAACTGTTCTCCCATGTTCTCCTACATTAATTCGGCTTTCTCAAAATTTTGTTGTTGTATTTCTGTGTGTATTTTAAAAACGTCGCGCACAGACCTTGCTTTGACAAGTGCTGATCAGCAACTGATTTGATTTTGTTTTTCAAGTTGAGAGCAAACCAACTGATATTGCTCATTATAAAAAGAAGAAGAATTAAACTTATAGTGTATGTGTATCAACTTAGCGTCAGCAGAATTTTCTTACCCTATCACGCGTGTTATGACACGGCCATATTGAGCTTCTCTGTTTTAAAGTCACATTACAGGATATTGAAGTATGTATCACAAAGTAAGTATTTGTGGTGGCCTTAAAAAGCTGACTGCTGCGGTTGGGGTATGTCTTACCGAGTGTATGTTTGATGACCGATAATTAGCATGTGTTTTGACATTAAGAATTAAAGCTTTAAGTGTTGATTTTATTAGTTTTGTTTCGAAGATTTGTTCTTGGTGTGGTTCTACTTAATTCTGCATACAGCAACAAACAACATTGTGACTGTAGCTGTCATCGTACACATTAATGGTTTTAGCCACAGCAGATAAACTGTTAATCTGCATAAAATTTTCTTGACTTTTATAACATTTCCGGATTTAATGATTTAATTGATTTAATGACTTCTTGGATTTCTATAAAGTCTTCTATTTACATAGTTAGTTCGTTAGTTAATGAAGATGGATAGAAAAGAAAAACGTATACGATTTAAGGCAGATTAAATGATTGACACATTTACAGAAAAAGAAATCTCATGGGATTTTGTGAAAATATATTGTGAAGCAATAAAGTATAGAATTTGTAATAAAAATGTTAATTGTTTTCTATATAACTAAATTTTTAATCAAGGCTAAAATTAGCTTATGAGAAAAACCAAAGGCTTGTTTGTTATAAGAGCGAAGCAAATATGGCCTTGAATTAGTAAAATATTTTTTAAAAAGATTTTAACAAATTCCCTCTTTTTATATAAACTTTTCAATAAATTCTCTTTTTAAAAAAAATTTTCGAAAAATTTAATTTTTGTATAAAATTTTCGAAAAATTCTCTTTTTCTAAAAATTTTCCATAAATTCTCTTTATCTAGAAAATTTATAGTGAATTCTCTATTTTTTCAATTAATTCTCTTTTTCTAGAAAATTTTTGATAGATTCTCTTTTTTTAGAAAATTTTCGATAAATTCTCTTTTTATAATTTTTCATAAAATTCTCATTCTATAATTTTTGATAAAATTCTATTTTCGTAGAAAATTTTCGGAAAACTCCCTTTTTATAAGAAATTTTAGAAAAATTCTTTAAATATTTTGCAAATATTATATAGAAAATTTTTTTATCGAAAATTTTCTTTTTATGGAAAATTTTCGAAAAATGCTCCTTTTTATAGAAAATTATCGAAAATTCTCCTTTTATAGAAAATTTTTGAAAAATTCTCCCTTTATAGATAATTTTCGATAAAAATCTCTTTTTATAATTTTTGATAAAATTTTATTTTCGTAGAAAATTGCCGAAAAATTATCGATAAATTCTCTTTCTATAATTTTTTATAAAATTCTTTTTTCGTAGAATATTTTCGAAGAACTTTCTGTTTATAGAAAATTTTAGAAAAATTCTCCCTTTATAGATAATTTTTTTATAAACATCTCTTCATGAAAAATTTTCCAAATATTATATAGAACTTTTTTTTTATCAAAAATTTTCTTTTTATGGAAAATTTTCGAAAAATGCTCCTTTAGAAAATTATCGCAAATTATCGTTTTACAGAATATTTTCGAAAAATTCGCTTTTTTATAAAAAATGTAAAAAACGCTTTTTTAGAATATTTTCTAAAAATTCTCTTTTGATAAAAAATTTTTGGAAAAATTCACTTTCTATAGAAAATTTTTTAATATAGAAAATTTTTAAAAATTCTCTTTTTATAGAATATTATCAAAATTTCTTTTTTTATGGAAAATTATTGAAAAATTCTATTTTTACAGAAATTTTTTGAAAAAGTCTCTTTTTTAAACAAGATTTTCGAAAAATTCTCTTATTAAACACAATTTTCAAAAAATTCTCTATTGTGGAAAAAATCTATTTTTCTACGAAAAAAATGTTATAAGAAATTGTGTTTTCTATAAAAAAAAATATTAAATAAACTTCTTTTTTTGTAGAAAATTTTTAATAAAATTTTTCTTTTTTTAAGGAAATAATCAATAAAATTCACTACTTTCCTTAAAAAAAAAAATTCTTTTAATGAAAAATTAAAGAAAAAAAAAAACATTTTTTAATTAAAAATTTTTGCAAAATTATAAATATACAGAAAATTTTAAATTTTCCTGTATACGATTTGTAGAACAAAATTGCAAAATTTCCCTTTTGTGGATAATTTTTAAAAGATTTTCTTTTATAGAAAATTTTCAAAAATTATCTTTATTTTATAAAAAAATTATTAATTAATAAAACAATAATTATATATAGAAAAATATCGAAAATTTCTCCTTTTTTAGGATTTTAAAAAATTATCTTTTTAATAGAAAATTCTCGTTTTTAATAGAAAACTTTTAATTATGACGAGAAGGGGATGACAGTTTTCTATATTATTTAGTTATGTACTTTTACCCTAAATTTTCCTCACACCGTTTCCTTTCAACAATTTAAGCAATGAGAAAGCTACTGATTAAAAATTATTGGGACCCAATTGACAATTCGTATAATTCATGACCATAAATTTTACAAAAACATGAACGAATACAATAATAAATTTATGCATTTATGTGCAATATAAATATATGAATATTTTGCATGATTTTAACATAAACAAAGCCAGTGATTATCTGAAAAAGGTCGCCCCGAGGGTCCCACGCGAAACAAATATACAATATTAATAAACAAAAAAAAAAAAAAGAAAACAGGACAAGTTAAAAAACAGTAGCCTTTACAATTGATGTACAGATACAATAATTTGCAGAATATTCATTCATACATTTTAATCGATGGCAATATTCAATTTGTAATTGTAAATTTAAAAAAAAAAAACACAGATAAACAAGAAAAAAATACTTGTAAAAAAGAAGGCGTAGAGTGGGTTTTACGTACACCAAAACAAAAACCATATAGATAAAAAATACAAGGAATAACAAGGAAAAAAAGACCAATGGGCATTTAAACGTTAATCATGTCACACAGGAAATAAAAAATGCTACTACTATCAACTTATGGTAAATGTGCCCGTGTGGGTTTTTGGTCAGAAAAAAAACTTGGAGTTTCAAATAAGACAACAACAAGGTGGTAATTAATGAAGGGATACAATGAAAATGATTAATGACTAAAACCAGAAGAAATTTTTTGACCAAGGAAACAAAGAAAAACGTTCAAGTTTGGCGCCATTTATAGGAGAAATAAGAGTTAAAACAAGCATTCTGAAATACAAAATTGTAAGTCAAATTTTTCGTTAATTTTAAAACATAAATTTTAAATACTTGAGGCTAAACAATGATTTTGTTAAAAAGAATTTATATTTAAAATACTACTCCCCAAAACCACAGGAGTTTATGTTTAATGAACTCTTTTTCTTGTACAAATGTGTCTGGTTATGAGTTTATGAACAGGAACTGCCAATACTTGACAAATTCAAGTGGAAACCTTGAAAGTGTTTATTCAATAGTGGTTACAACTGGGCAAAAAATATTTATTACTAAAGCCTTCTTAACTTCTACTGCTGCTACTACTTCTTCAGAATCTTTTATCTACCACTTTTGCAACAACATTAAATTGACACTGTGGCAACAACAAGTAGCTAAGCTTTTTTTTTATAAAGTGCTCGGTTGGTTTCTTTGTGTGGATTTTTTTTTTAAGATTTTCTACTCAAGTTTTATTTCTTTTGACTTTACAAAATTATTATTACAAGTGTTATGAACAACATTTTTGTGTTATTAAAAATATATAATTCATTTCTGGATGTCGAATGTTTTTGTTAAGGCCTGTAGGCGAATTCAATAAAAACAACACTTGAACTCTTGTCGTTTTATTTGGAATTTTTTTCACGGCGTTTTTTTCCACAAAAGTAAAAAATTAAATACAAGAAACAGTAGCAACAATAAACATTGAAAAAGTATTTATAAAACACTTACCGACAAAGTAATTCTTGAAATTTTTAAAGTCCGTCACAAAATTATTGATCTGCAAGAATACGAAAAAAAAGTGAAATTAATTTTTTCTAAATTTGAAAATAATAAATACTAAGAATTATTTGCTAAACCTCAAACTCAGAGACGTAAACTAAGCGTATGAGTCACTCCAACCCCCTGCTGATAAAACTTTTTTAAACTTTGCCAGTTAAATTACTATATCGCTATCTTAAAATCTAGAGTCGTACATCTCTGTTTAATAAATTGCTGACAAAATTTATGACATGTGTCACACAAGCTCTTCACATGATAACTTAACTACTGTGTAAATTATTGTTGCCTCAGAAAAGTGAAACTTTTTTTATTTCATTCATTATTGTCTTAAATTCTACAAGTTTTATTTAATCGTTTTTTTTTTTAAAAAACAAAAACAATTATGTCAGCAAGTTAATCACTAATTTCAAGTGCAAGTGTTGAACTTGTATTACACCCCGGGGGAAACTTTAAGAACCAGAACTTTTTGTTCTGTACGTACCAAGCAAGAATAGGGAGTAATTAATGGTCAATAATTTAGCGTATTTTTAAGCGTTTTCTTGAGTAAGGAATGGATTAATGCGACATTTGTTATACCTTATCTCCTCCCTATTGGAACCTTATCGTGCAGACAGACATTGTATGTAAGTAGATCGTTTTATAATTTAACTAGCTGAACACGGTCCCCATTACTCTACTTATCTGCGCCCTATTTGTACCCGAGCTTTTGACAAACAGACATTCGTATGAAAGTATACCATTTTATATTTTTGCTAATTGCTCCGCGTTACCGGATCTAATTTTGCACTATATTTCTCTTTCAGTGAAGATCTAAGTATTCTTATAATTTAAAAGTTTTCAGAGGTGTAATTAACTAAAATTTAAAACTCTGGCAACATCTAACGGACAACTTCATTAAAAACTTCACAGAAACTCATCTCACGACCCCTGGAACATACATATATGTAGTTGCAATTTTGTTGTTGCTACAATTCGACTTCGGTTTATAAAGCTATCGCCGAGTATGACACGGATCGCTCCGGAGCAAAGATTCGGTTGTCGTGATAATTTGCAATTTTATTCTATTAGGTGCTATAGTTCCTGATTATATCGATTATTACATGAATGAAAATATAAATATTTACTTACCCTCTTTTAAACACAAATATTACATTTTTATCCTCCATCAAAAAGACATATTTAAATAAAAGTTAAAGAAATTTTATATGCAGAAAATTTTTAATTAAATAAAAATACTGTAATTAATATTAGTTAAGTAATCAAAAAAATAAATTAGAACAAACTACAAATTAAATTTGTCTTAGATTTTAGGAAAATTTTTACATTAAGTCTCAGCTGAATAATATCTTTAAAAAATGGTTGAAATCAATCTGACAAAACTTAATCTTGTTGCGTTTTGAGCAATTTACCGCGGTTAATAATGTAGTATGTTCCCCGTAAAATTTCGTGGTATGTTGTCTGTTTCAAATTACATCTTAATACCAATTTCTATTAGTCTTATCTACGTAAATTTTAAATAATTTTTGGGAAGGACATCGCTTAATTTAAAGCAATTTTCTTGAAAAAAAATGTAAAAACGGTTAGACTGAAAGAATGAAATATATACAGCCAGCTCTAAAAATAGGTGAAACAGAACTATGAACAAAATTTATTTTTAATTTTGTAAAAAATTAAAATCAGTATAGGAATTATGAGAATAAAATGTTCATTCCAGACGGACAAGTTAAGTTCTAGACGGACTAGAAATTTTTGTTATTGAATTGGGAAAATACATGGACCCATTCTATATAGTTCAAACTCAACAATTTTGTAAAAACTCTATAACCAAAATAGGTGTTATGAAAACAAAATATTCCTTCCAGGCGGACGGATACGTTATAAACGACAGACGGAGCAGTGATTTTTGTTTTTGGATTGGGAAAACAACTTTTGTAAACATTCTAAGTATATCAGAATACGTGCTATGAGAACCAAATGTTCATTCCAGACAGAGAGAAAAGTTATAAATCACAGACGGACTAGACATTTTTGTGTTTGAATTGGGAAAATACATTGAGCCATTTTATTTAATTCAAACTCAACAAATTTTGTGAAAATTCTATATCAGAATGGGGTTATAAAAAATATTTTCATTCCAAATGGACTGATAAGTAATAAACCACAGACGGACTGGACTGATGTACAGATTGAGCTACAGACGGACTAGACTATCAGACAAACAGACAGACGGATTTACAGAAAGGCAGACAAACGGACATACATATAAACTTAGAAACAAAATGACAAATATGATACTGGCATTTAGATTTGTGAAAAATATTTTCATTTGGCTCAAATTTAAAAACTTTTCTAATCAATTTAGAAATTTCTGCAGACTAATACTTATTAAGATCAGGATAAGTATTATAAGAACAAAATGTTCATTCCAGACGGACAGATACGTTATAAATCACAGACGGACTAAACATTCCTGTTTTTTGATTGAGAAAATACATGGATCCTTTTTATTTAGTTCAAACTCAACAAATTTTTGTAAAAATTCTATATCAGAATGGGTATTATGAGAATAATATTTTCATTCCAGACGGATAGACAAATTATAACCCAAAGACGGACTGGACTGATATATAGATTGAGCTACAAATAGACACATTTGACGGACCAACATAAATTTGTATATTACAGACGGACTAGACTATAAGACAAACCGACAGACGGGTTAACAGAAAGACAGACAAACATACATGGACTCAGAAAGAAAACGACAACTATGTTATACAGACATTTTTGTTTTTGAATTGGGAAAATACATGGACCCATTTTATTTAGTCCAAACTCAACAACTTTTGTAAACATTCTATGTATTATTTGTAAATCTCAGACGGAGTAGACATTTTTGAATTTGGAAAATACTTGGACCCATTTTATTTAGTCCATACTCAACAACTTTTGCAAATATTCTTTATCAGAATAGGTGCTAATGAGAACCAAATGTTCATTACAGACAGACAGAAAAGTTATAAATCACAGACGGACTAGACATTTTTATATTTGAATTGGAAAAATAAATGGATCCATTTTATTTAGTTCAATCTCAACAACTTTTGTAAAAATTCTACATCAGAATGGGTGTTATGAAACCAATATTTTCATTCCAAATGGACAGATATGTTATAAACCACAGACGGACTGGACTGATATACAGATTGAGCTACAGACACATCGACGAACCAGCTAAGATTTTTACATTACAGGCGGACTAGACTATTAGACAAACAGACAGGCAATCAGACAAACTCAGAAACAAAATGACAAATATGATACTGGCATTTAGATTTGTGAAAAATATATTCATTTGGCTCAAATTCAAAAAGATTTTCTAATCAGTTTAGAAAATTCTGTAGTCAGACAGACATGTATAAAGCAGATAAAGCATTAGACAAAAAAGTCCATCTGTTTAGACTGGCTAATACTTATAGAGATCAGGATAGGTATTATAAGAACAAAATGTTCATTCCAGACGGACAGATAAGTTGTAAATCACAGACGGACTAGACATTCCTGTTTTTTGATTGAGAAAATACATGGATCCATTTTATTTAGTTCCAACTCAACAAATTTTTTGAAAATTCTATATCAGAATGTGTGTTATGAGAAAAAATATATTTTCATTCCGGACGGATAGATAAGTTATAACCCAAAGACGGACTGGACTGATATACAGATTTAGCTACAAATAGACCATGACGGACCAACATAAATTTTTAAATTAGAGATGGACTAGACTATCAGACAAACAAAAAAAAGGATTAACTAAAATACAGAGAAACGGACATATAGACTTAGAAACAAAATTACAAACATGCTGGCATTCAAAATGACAAATATGCTGCCAATCAGAGACTGGCATTAAGACAAAAAAGCAGGCAATATTTGTAAAAAAGATTTCGGATTAGAGAAAAATATGAGCCTATTTCATTTGCATCAAATTCAAAAACTTTTCTAATACATTTAGAAAATTCTGCAGTCGGTAAAAAGCATATAAAGCATCAGACAAAAAGAGCAAACAGATGGACTGGCTAACAGTTATTGAGATCAGGATAAGTATTATGAGAACAAAATGTTCAGTCTAGACGGACTAGACATTTTTGTTTTCGAATTGGGAAAATATATGGATCCATTTTAGTTAGTTCAAAATCAACAAATTTTGTGAAAATTCTATATCAGAATAGGTGTTATGAGAAAAATATTTTCATTCTAGACGGATAGATAAATTACAACCAACAGACGGACTGGACTGATCTACAGATTTAGCTACAAATGGACACATTTGATGGACCAACATAAATTTGTATATTACAGACGTACTAGGCTATAAAACAAAATGACAGATGGGTTAGCTGAAAGACAGACATACATTCATTGACATATAACATACATACATGGACTCAGAAAGAAGACGACAACAATGTTATATAATCAGATGCTGACATAAAGACGGAAAGACAGACAATATTATTAAATCAAAACGCAAGATTGGCGATTTCTGAAAAAATATGGGTCCATTTCATTTCGCTAAAATTCAAAAACATTTCTAATAAATATAGAAAATTCTATAGCCGGACAGACAATTATAAAGCAGATAAAGCTTCAGACAAAAACAGATGGACTAGGTTTTTATTTATTACTGAGAAATTAGAATGTCGAATATATGACAAATAGTCAAAGGACAGAAATATAGACAGACAATATGTATATAGAGAGTTTGATACATAATATACATACATATTTATATTGCTAAATCAAAACATATGAACAGTTTTTCCGAAAAACATTTGTATTTTGGACTTGAAAAAAACACTGAGACTAAGCATTTTTAAGAAATCTTGAACCGAGAATTAATTGTTATTTTCAAGTCTAATTATTATTAAAATTTTGATAAATAATAAATAATGCAAAACTTCTACTAATATTTTAAACAAATTAAATTAATTTTTT